TCACTTGTGAGACAGTGTTAAGCATGCAAACACACGCGCAAAAAGCTAAAATGTGAGTCTATTGATTTAGTACTCCTAATTTTTAATAGTTTGATTATGACCAATACTGCAACAAGTAAAACTGCCACAAAGCAGAAGGGTAATGAGTCACTCAGAGCATCACCAAGCTATCCACTAATGAATCTATCACTTTGGGTGGTAAGTTCACAGAAGGATCAATGTACAAATTTCATTAATATTTAAGACAATTTTGGAAACACTCAGTGTCTGCCTCGTTTAAGCACAGTCCTCTTTATGAAGTTGTCACATATTCTTTTTGATATTCTGCAGAATCATCCCGAATGTCTGTTACAACCTTGGTGGGACCCTGTCGGGGATTCACTGGTTAGTCAAACAGCCCACGAGGGGCCAGAACATGAAGCATAACAAGCATTAGAATTGCTGTTATTTATTTTTGGTAACTGAGTTATGATACTTGAGTAGGCTGTACAGGTGAGGAAATAATGTTATGCATCTATTTCTTGGGTGACACAGATTACAGCTGTCACTAGGAGTCATGACAGGATGACACCGGGTAATGTGTTAGACAATGGTCTTCAGAAAAATCTGAAACTGTTGGCCTGATCAGAAGCCATTAGTTCAAATCCTGTGTGGGCTACACAGGTGCCCGTACCTCATGACATCAGCCCCAGGAGATGCACGGAGGACACGGAGCTCAGTGCTGCTCAGGTAAGTGCTCAGCAAACGCTGGCGGTTATTTCTTATCACTGTCTCAACTGCATTCGACAAACATTTATGTATTTACAGATAAGTGGAAAAGGTCTGTTGTGCATAATGCACTACTTTTGGTGCTTTCCATATGGGTCACAGGAGAATTAAGAATTGGGATGGAAGACAACTTCCCAGCTAACGTTGGAAACTAACTTCAAAATCTAAGTACGCGTATGAATAGCGGCAGAGCCCTCTTGACACTTGTTATAAAAGGCATAGTTGAAGGGGTAACAATAGGAATTACAGTCTCTATATCTGATACCTTACTTAGAATTTTATCGCTAAGTATTTGTAATAAGTTACTGTAATTCTGTAATAAGTTACTGTAATTATCTAATATATGTGTGCATTGCTGGTCTTGATTTTCTACAGCTGCTCACGGTTCAACAGAAAGGAAGCTGAGCTCCGATACGTGACGTGTGTTCCATTATTATTTTGCCCAATTCCTTTCCAGTTGTACTTTGATCAGAACTAAAAAGACAAGAGTCCAAGGAAAAGCAGTTTTAGCCTCTTACAGACCACACAGAAATATATATTTCAAAGAAGAATGTTTTTCCACTGGTAAAATTTACATTTTGAAGGGAGGGCATAGTGGTGTAGTGCACTGTCCACATTGCAAGTTTATCAGCATTTTAGCTCTGAGATTGTAAGACAATTGCTTGGAAGAATCTGTTCTTTACCCATATATTATGTGTTCATTTTTTTTTTTTGTAGGGCATGTTTCTTTTATTTGAATACCAGGATTTAATCCCATGGTATCTGTGTGTTCTGAAAGGAATTAAGGAGACTCTATGTCCTAAGACATTTTGGAATAAAGCAAAGCATTAAGAAATCTGGAGCCTAATTTTTCTCTCAACTAATTAGCTGTAAATATAATTTTTAAAGAACCTAAAAAATTCCTTGCGCTGGCCTTGAGCTTTACATTAGGCCAAGTATTTAAAAAATTGAACAGGGAAATTAGAAGAATGTATTTAAGCCATAGGATTAAATGTTCAGTATGAAATGATGATTAATCAGCATATGAGAAAAACCTGGGTCAGGTAAACAGGAGGCAACGCGGTATCTGTGGCAGAGCTACGCCAAGTATGGTCTGTGGGCCTGTGACCTGCCTGTGACAAGTATAGCAAGTCTTACGGAAATCTGATGATACCCCACTACTTTTATTGTATTTTACAAGAGGATTAGCCCACTATGCACTGGAAATTAAACAAACCATATGAAACACAAACACACACAAGTCCTCTACAGGCAGTGTGAGGACCACTGGTCTATAGTAACTAAACTCACCATCCAACTCTTACGCTGAGTGTCCACTTTAAAGATTCAAAACTAAGAATCTCAAAGAATACCCAATATACAAGGCGTGCATGTCTCTTTTATTATCTTTGCTTTGTAAGGACTATTTTAATCATCATGATGAGACTGACTTTTTGATGGGAGTGGGTACAATAATTTTAAAGCAGGAAAAAAATTGCAGAGAATGTTTTCATTCATTAAAGCAGCAGCGCTTGCTGTGTGTTGGACCCTGTATGCTCAGTATGAAGGCACCAAGATAAAATGGGGGACACCCCTGCCCTCTGGAAACTTGAGGTCTGATGAGAACCAATGTTTTCAGGTCCTTTCCTCTTGAACTACAAATGTGAAAGTAATTATATTTAGGGAGATATTTATATCAAGTGAGATGCCTAAATAAATTCTATAAGCAAACACTAGAACAGTGAAAACAATTAAAGTACAAAATTTGCCAAAACGAAACCTAATTAGCACTTCTAGATGACACAAACATCTCAAAGACTTTACAGGCATCATCAAGTTTGCCTGTGTAGTTGATTAAAAAACCAAAAACCTACAATATCCTACTTAAGGATTATCTTTCTTCCACATCAGTGAAGCACAGTTAACAGAGAGATACTCCTTTAATTGCATGAATAAAAGTACAGTAAGAATCTCTGTCAGGGGCCTGCCGAGTGGCGCGATGGTTAAGAACTGGCTTGGGATGCCAGAGGGCCCCGGTTCGGATCTCACATATGGGGGCCAGTGACACTGCCCTCTACAGCTAAGATGCTGAACAACAGCTCGACCTGGAGCTGGGCTGCCGTGGGTCGCTGGCGACGGCGTAGGCTGCAGCCCCTGCTGCAGTGGGTTGCCATAGGCTACCGTATGTAGCCAGCAGCCAGCGTGAGCGGCCAGCAGCCGCCGTGAGTGGCCGTCCAGAAGCCGGCGACTGATCTGCCTTGCCCGGGAAGAGCGCAATGATGGTGCCAACTTGGGCCAGTGAAGCAACGTCCTCCACAACTAGACTGAAGAACAACAGGACAGCAACTTGTCTGTTCCCCTTCCACCAATTCCCCAGCGCTGTTCCCCTCCCCCAATTCCCCAATAAAATGTTAAAAAAAAAAAGAATCTCTGTCAGTTTCCTTCTTTACAGATACTAAAACACACACTACAAGGGAATTTTATGAAGGACACGATTCAAGAAGGCCTCGAGGTCCATGGTACAGAAATTCCGTGCCAGGTCAAGCTGAGGGAGCCAGCTCTGATGCTGCGTTCTCTGACCTGAAGTCAGGAAGGCGCCATTCTCTGGGGTGGGTCTTCCCCACAGGCCTGGTGACAGGTGAAGTGCAGAGTGGTGGGGCCTGCATACAGCAGACAGAACTGGTGCTGCAGCAACACCAGAATGTTCTAAAAACTAACGTCATGCTCAGGAATGACCCGAGGCTCAGTGTGTGTTGCACTGATGACAAATAGACTGTATTTACTCTTCAAGAAACACTGCTCTTCCTTTTTCCTTCACGGAATTCTGGAATGTCAGCCCACTGGGTGGGACTGCCTCTGGTTAAAGCTGCTCGCTTACGAACTCAGCTGGAGACCGAGTTTCGTGAACAAAGTAAAAAACCCAACAGTGCGAGCAATGCCAGGACAAAGAGAATGCCCATCTCCTCCAGGTGGAGCTGTCATGAAGCCATTCCCAGGTAGATGGTGACAAAGTTCTATGTGACTACAGGCTAAGGCCATGCCCATAGTGTCTGATGTTCTGACCTTCTCAGCCAGCAGCAGAGAACAGACAGCCCCAATGGATAAGTACAACTGTTTTTTATGGTATTTACTTGCATACTTGACATTCTTCTTAGCCCTATTTTTAAAGCTCAAAACTAGGGTGCAGCAAACATGTGAGGCTGGTCTCCCTCACTCTCCCTTTCTGCCTGCTGACACCTCAGGCTGGTCACTGACCCTCATTCGTCTGCTAGGCCAGGTTCCAGCAAAGCCGAGGGGTTAGTCACTGTGCCCTGTAAGCTTCGACGGGAGAATATGAGCTGTCGCTACCCACACTACCCTTGATGAACCCAAGATGGAGACGCTGTACCCTCAGACAGAGGGACCCAAACACACAACGCTTCTACAAGCTGGGCATCAGCTAGCACTCACATGGTTTGGAACTCGAGTCAACGTTTACTGAGCGCTTTTTCTGTACCAGGCCCCGTGCACAATGGTAAACTTGCACATGCACACATGCACACACGTGCACACACACGTGCGCTCGCTCACACCCCATAGCACTGTTATTCACAATAGCCAAGAGATAAAAGCACCCCAATGGCCCCGACCAATGGGTCAACACAGGTGCTCTAGCCAATGGCATGTTATGCAGCCTTATAAAGGAAGGAGACCCTGTCACACGCTACTACATGGATGAACCTTGAGCACGTTCCATTAAGTGAAGCAAGCCAGTCACAAAAAGACAAATACTATGGTTCCACTTAGATGAGATGTCTAAAGCAGTCAAACTCATACAGAGAGAAACAGAATGATGGTTGCCAGGCCTGGGGGCAGGCGGGAACTGGGACTTGTTCAGTGGGTATAGCTTCAGTTTTGCAAGACGAAACAGTTCTGGTGAGGGTTGCTCATCAAGGAGAGTACACTTACTGCTACTGAACTGTACACTTTAAAATGGTGAAGACAATAAAAAAAAGGTGGATTTTATGGTATGTGAATTATATCCCTCAAAAAGTTATGTGAAAAAAATTTAAAAGTGAGTTACAAAACTGTGAAATAAAAATGTGTATATAGAACAAAAATGTTAGCAGTGGTTAGATTACATTTACTTTCTCATATTTTCAGACTTGTCTTCTGGTGAGAATGTACTGATATATAAAATACAAGACATATACTTGACATGTCAAAAACAAGACACGTTCTCTGTTTAAGGGTAAACACGAGCAAGGTCATACCTGGGCTGGAGTGTTTGTGGTCACAGGAGATGGCGACTCGTTAACTTTTGGCTCACTTGGGGACGCGGCTGACCCCTGCGACTCCTGGCTGGCCGGCTGGTCTGGGGACAACGCGTCACTGCTGTCTTCGTCAAATGAGAAGTCACCCTGAGTTTGGGGATAGCCTTCCTTCCCAACACCTAAAGAAGAAATGATTCTTAACTCGTCTTGGCCTTGGAAAACCAAGTTTAAGATGAAAAAAGGAGAAACATTGTTTACTGTAAGAACTTAAGAAGCTGGTTCAAAACACATAACTAAATAAACATAATGTACTCCCCAATGGAAGAATCTAAGATGAGTAGTTGGAAGAAACAAACCTGAATGAGATCAAGCCTTTGGATCCACCTACTGGCTACAGGAAATACAGGAGACAAGAAAGGCTTTAATGACACCTGGGGACACACATGCATCCAGCAGAATCCAGAATGTGGGAAGGCTGGAGGAAGAAACAAGCCCGTTCATCCACAAATGAATACGACAAGGAGAGAGGAAGAGGAAGACCCGCCCGAAAGATTACAACTTCAGAGGCACATCAGCCAAGGCAGCGTGTGGACCTTGTTTGGATGCTGATTTTGAGTTCAGCTGCTAAAAACCACTCTGAGGCAACGGGGGAAATGGGGCATGACTGGGTCTCTTGTTAAATCCCACGTCACAGAGCAGCCCAGCTGTGCTGACACCGTATTTTGGGGGCTGTTCCCTTGTGATCGAATGGAGTCATAGCTGATTGTACTCCTTAGAATAATCAACTACACACTGCCTAAGACTGAACCTCACACTAATGCAAAATAAGTCCCAGTGTCATGGTAACTATCATAGTGGGAAAAAAAGGGGACATGTAGTAACCAGGTAGCTAAGAGATGAAATGGACGGCTACTACCATTCTTAATGGGTTCACCTACACTCATCTGCTGCTCACCTTCCTGAACTAACACTGAACAAGTGGTTTATCTTTCCTGGAAGTAAATAGAACGAAAATGAAAAGCTGCAAGCAAAAAAACAAAAAACAAAAAAACCAGAAACGAAACAGTATAATGCGGTAAGTTTAGCTTAGAAAATGAGAACTTAAACACTAAAACCTCAGATGTAAGAAGAATCTGTTAGCTGGGTAGAGGCGCTGGTCTTATAACGCATAATCCACAGCTGGCCCTCTGTACCCACAGGTTCTGCCTCCCCAGATTCAAACAGCCCCAGACTGCAAATATTCGGGGGAAAAAAGGTTACGTTGCTGTTGACGTGTATATGTAGTTAGGCCCGGGATGGTTGCGTCTGTACTGAACATGTACACACTTTTTCCCTTGTCATGATTCCCTAAAGAATACAGTATAACAACTATGTACATAGCATTTACACTGTATTAGGTATTACAAATAATCTAGAGGCAACAAAGTACATGGGGGAATGGGCGTAGGTTATATGCAAATACTATGCCATTTTCTATAGGGGACTTGAGCATTTGAGAGTTGTGCTACCCAGGGCTCCTGCAACCAATCCACCTTGGATACCGAGGGACCACTACAGTAACAACAATAATGGGAATCCAGCCCGTGTTAATTTCTAATTCACCCAGAAAACTATACTCATGATTGGTGCTGGCGTTTTTAATTACATTTGTTTTAATCTGAAAATTACAAGACCTTTTTCTTCCCAGACAATAGTGCAGTTTAAGACGCTTGCCTATAATTGCTTCCTTAACACTGGAGTCGACAGGTAGGATGTTCTTCTCGACCAGCTCCATAGGCCCAGGCCTCTGCGCAATCTTTTCATTCAGGTCATCGGCCAGACGGGCTCTTTTCAACTTCATCTGAGTGGCCTGCAGGGATGGCTCTGCAAACGTTTCTAAAGGAAGAAACACAGTTTTAACCATCACTTGAATCACTCTCTCTATTCCATAATGCTACTTCAGGCCAACTAATTTAATTTAAACCGGTTCAAACATATGTATGTGTTCTAAAGATATTTACGGCAAGAGAAAATGACTATTTAAAAATGCTCCAGAATACAACTTATACTTTTAGTCCCGAGTAGCTTTATATTGTCTATGCAATATGGATGCCCTCGGACTCAAGTTAATGTGAATTCAAGTGAAAATAGGGCACTGCTATTGCTCCTTTGTGACAGCAGGGCCATATTCACATTTATTAGGTGTTGGGGACACAGAGGACGGACAGACAGGTGGTCCATGGCCATAGAAGTTACTGTTTTATTATAGATTTGGCTTCATTGGAAAGTCAATGCCCAGAGAGGGAGACATTGTGTCTTAGGATATTAAGCGTCTCTGCAGAAGTCAGTGGGAAGAGCTACAAACCATATTCCTGGACGGATCCCTGTGTGCCTGAGTCAATCACTGTAATTAAAAATTTGGGTTTATTTCTGAATACATAGCCTTGTGTCTGTTGGGAACATGCAAGTGTGTACAGGGTAATTATGGTCACACAGAGCTTCAACTCATCTACTTACAAATGTATCAAGTTGTACAACAGATAAATGTCACTCATTCATTTACATAGTTCTGTCAATTACGTGTGTTTATGGCAACTCTCTCTCATTTTATTACATTGTCCTAAAATAAGAATCAGGGGTTAGCCCAAAATTCTGAGTTCACAGTTGCTTGTGTCTTAAATTACACAGATCTTTTAATGAAATTCCCCATAGGTATTCTCAGGATTAACTGATATTCTTCATTTTGTAGGTAAAGTGTCCTGGTCGAAGCCCAAAGCTTACTCGAAGCCTGTGGCCGATAAACTGCTCTTTAGCAGGTCTGAGGTCAGCTGACCCTTGAACGATGCGGGCGTTTGGGGCGCTGACTCCCCACCCAGTCAAAAATGCCCACGTGTAACTTTTGGCTCCCCCAAAACTTAACTACGAATAGCCTGCTGTTGACTGGAAGCCTGACTGACAACATAGTCAACGAACATATATTTTGTATGTTACATGTATCACATACTGTATTCTTAGAATAGATTAAGCTCGAGAAAAGAAAATGCTGTTAAGAAAAACATAAGGAAGAGAAAATACATTTACAGTATTGTTTGAAAAAAATAAGTGGTCTCGCACAGTTCAAACCCGTGTTGTTCAAGGGTCAACCGTGCTTCTTTTGAATTACATGCTTTCCAAAAGTCAACCCCAATTGCCCACAGAATAGTTCATATCTGTTGGGAGTGTGATTGTCAATACATATTTAACTAAATGTCATGGGAAAATGATAAACTTCAAAAATATAATTATTTCTTGGAAACCTAAGTTAAATGCTTTGGAACAACTTGATAAATGTGAGTCATTAAAAAAAATCACTGTCAAGTTAGGGCAATTAGCAACTATAAAAAATTTGGGGAAAAATGGGAAAATGTAGGCTTTTTAAACTCAGATTGCTTTTCAAGTCTTTAGGTTTTTGTTCTAGTAAATGGAAGTGGTAGGTGATGTACAATGGCTGTGCTTTGTGCAGGAAGGGGAATGTGAACGCCACGCATTAAAGCCTTCCCCAAAGTCAGAGTTTTGGCAAATAAATGCACACCTCTATAAGATAAAATAACATGTGGTTGTCTCACTTTTATAATCTTCCTATATAACCAACCGTGGCCCCAATCTTGTTATGAAACACTTCTAAGCACCCAGGAAGGTGACAGGCGCAGTCAGATCACGCAGACCGCTCTCAGGTTGATTTTAATGGTTCTGCTAAGATGTCAGTAGGACAGTCCTCTGCCTTTCGCTCTCTCCCACTCACACCATCCGAGGGATGTTTGGCAAGAAAATATCCCCAAAGTAAATAATCAGATGCTGGCATTTTGGTATGTTTTAGTTCATAGTATGATTACCTCCTCATGTCCCTGAGACCAAGGCTGGCTTTCAAATGCTGAGCTTCAGAAAATAATTAAGACCTTTGCTTGCCAAACATCCAATTCAATCAAAATTGGGAAAATGTTAAAATAAGTGTATGTGGGGGGGTGGGGAGGCGGTGGTTAAGATATTTTTCAAATGATAGATGACACATTAGTTCTTACTTCAAAAATCCCAACTTGAGAATAGATGTCCTAAAAGCATCACTTATGGTTCATTCATATACATAGTTATGGTTTTAAATGTTGGGTGGTCTTCTTTTAAAAAGCAAATATGATCCCTTTTGATAGTTAAATGTATTTGCCTTGGTTTTAATTATATTGATAAAGCCTGTTACAGTCAGGAGGCAAGTGGAAACAGACAGCACTGCTCCTACCGACATGTCCCTCATAGGTCAAGATATTTTCAGGCACAGGAGGAGCCATTTACCAAGTTATTTACCAGGAAACTCGCTTCTTTGAAGATGCGCTTTTCTCTGACAGCAGGTAGCTGCTCCTACCTGACCACTGGAGTTCGGGAAAAGCTGTTTTAATCCAGTGGCTTTCTGAGAACACAACCCAAAGTAGAGAAAGGCATATACAGTAAAACCTTGGATTGTGAGTAACTTGGTTTGCGAGTGTTCCGCAAGACGAGCAAACATTTCTATTAGGTCGTTGGAAAAGTCATGACGCATTTTTGCAACTAGAAACCTAGAAAAAATACGTCATGACTTTTCTGACGACCCAGTAATACATTTTCACGTGGTAAACGAGCGACGTCTTGCAATACAAGTGTTTGAGGAACGAATTATGCTCACAAACCAAGGTATTACTGTACCTCCCACCTCCTGCCCCAGATCTGAAGACAGTCACATAATCGTCGGTTCTCTGGATTAGAGGAGACCCCACTTGGGGTTACAGAGACAAAGTTGGTACTTGGAACTTCCTTACAACATCCTCGATGTGCTTCTTCCTTCCCTATCTCAGCAGCCTGTGTATTCCCTATACGGCACTTTGACACTCTGTAATTATTTGTTTGGCCTGTTTATTACTGTCTGTGCCATTAGAGTGTAAGCCCCATGAAGAAAAACATCTACCTGGCTCACCTGTTGGGCCTCTGGTGTCTGGCTCACTGGCCAATGAATGAACACCTCTGATAACAGCAACCAGATAACTTCCTGAAGATTTTATTTTTGGACATGTCTGACCTTTAGGACATTAATTTTTACGTTGAGCTTCAATCCAATACATTATAATGTCAACCTAACTCTAACACTATCATCAGGCCAGAGAGAACAAAGCTAATAATCTTCCTCTTCCCTGATAATTGCCTCTAAATGTATGAGGATTTTTTAGGTTCTTTCTGTATCTTCCCAAGGTTTCACACACTCAGGACTATCACGGGCTCAAGCTTCTACTTTGGTCCAGTAAATTGGTCAGAGAAGCAAAACAATGGCAGAAAATGTAACTTGGGGAATTTATGGTGCAGACACCAGCTTTCAAGAATGCTTTTTCTTTAGAAAGAAAAACATCCTGGGCTGAGCCGTGTGTAACAGAACTGTCCCCACCAGCTTTATGAGTGATGAGGCTAGCTTGTCAAGAAAGTCTGGCCCAGTGGAGGATGTGTATTACAATGGTCAGATAAAGCTGGAGTGTTGGGAAAATGTTAGTGAGGTATAGGCATTGTACCAGGCTGACATAACAGGGTCCCAGGAGCTGAAAATCTAGAGTCAGACTTGTGGCTCTCACACCCTTTCTGACTGAATGAGTGGGCACGTGTCCTTCACCGATGAAGAAATCTTCCAGACCAAAAATGTTTTTCCAGAACGGTACAGTAGAGACACCTATGGTACCAGCTGTTGGGGAAGAGTCAGTCCCTTAGTGGGTTCTTTGGAGAATCAAACCCTCCCCATGGCTTTAACATAACATTTAACTTTGGGTCTTTGTGTTGTTACCCGATTTGGAGGATGTCAGCCTGTGGGGTAAAAAGTTATTAAAGTGGGAACACACAAAAAACGGTAGCATTCTCACTTCTTTTCTTGAGCAAAATGCAACAAAATAACAGAACTAAAACCGTCACCTTCTAAAATGTGCATCCTGACAAGTTCGGAGCGGTCTGGTCGGCTCCTGATCTTGTGCTTCAAAAAGTTTTCGGTCTTAAAAAAAAAGAGAGAGAGAAAGTGTTACCATAAATTCTTTTTGATTTATTCTGGTTTTACATTTTTTTCTCTCAAGGTACTCCATTTAAATAAATTGATACCCTTTCAGTCATGATTTTGAAAGGAAGAGTAGAAATTAATACTCTGCGAAACTATTATCTAATACACAATTTAAACTGCAGCCTTCAAAATTGTACAGGGATGTGAAATGTCTGCTGGTATGAACTAAACACTTTAGAATTTGGGAAAGGCACAAGCTCACAATTTTGAAGTTGATTTTTGAACAGATATAGGATTTTGATCATTTAAATATCTAAAATCAATAAAATCTACACTCCAGGTCAAGTAAAAATCCACCTAGATAACTAATTTCCTAAAACTTCTCATGTATTTTCTTGGATGAGTTCATATCCTTGATCATATTTTCTTATTCAGAACTGTACTTAACTCCAGACAGTAAGGCTTTAAAATGGGTTTTATATTTTATAAGACTTTAAGAGATCATTTTCCATCCTGGGAAAACTCTTACGGAATTTTTAGAACATGCTTTTTGTAACACAGGATAGAAGTTTTCCCTAAAATAAGAAGAATGAACGTGCATAATGATACTTTTAAAGAAAAATAATAAACATCAGTTTGATGTGCAGCTATGATAGAGTCAACTCAAAGGCTTAAGCCAAGTTGAATGTGGCAATATTCTTTCAGTCAGCCAAATTCTCCCACTCTTGCTCAGATGTGCAGGTAACAGACCCAGCAGGGAAACCAGCTAAGAATCTGGTGTCAGCACCTCACTGGGACAGTGGGTCTGCTGGGGTGACAAATGGCAGAATTACTCCATTATTATTCTAAAAACTGTGGTTCTGCCCTGAAATCAAGACAGTGAAGAAGTGTGATTTGTCTTTTATGTATAAAACTAGTTGCTAGTTTTAAAAGAACAAAATGTCAACATCACGTATTTTCTACAAGCTTCCAAGACAAAACTACCCCAGGATATATTACCCTGTTTGCCACGTGTCCCGAAAGTACGCTACTTGTCCACAGGTACTTTAAAACACAAGAGAGGAGAACATTTTAAACTGAGATTTCTTACTCTGGCTCGTTCCAAGCTTTTTATCTGCTCATGGAATGCCGCTGGGCTCTTCAAAGCTGTGAGAGGAAAAGAAATCATTTCCAGGGTATAAGAGGAGGAGTGCACCCTTCAGTCAAACGTTCCAGTGTATCTTGTTGCTGTTTCCTCTTATTCTTATTAATTCGCATCTACAGTTCCATTTATCTACTAGTTCCTTTAGGAGGGCTGTAAAATTTGGCACCTTAAATGTTTCAGAATTAAAATTATGTATTTCACAAATAAAACAGGTGAACATTGAAAACTGAGTTGTATACTCGTATATCATGACAACGCAAATATCAGGTCAGACGAGTTCTAACCAGTATTGGGGCAAATTACCGTCACTGAGGAACCTGTTTGATGATTCCTTGACAGGCTTTTGCTTTTGGTGGAAAAAGACACTACTGGAAAAGCCCAAATGTCCTCAGGATATTTAACACTGGGTGATCTAACCTTGAACGTGAGGACACTCTGCACTGTTTACTAAAACATCCCCTACTCAAGTATTTCTATCAATTTCCTTTGCAAAAAAAAAATCTTTTGCATGTATATCCATCACTGTTTGATAACACCGAGTACTAATGACTATAGGCAGTCAGATGACGGACGGGATCTAAGACTAGGTGGGCTTCCTTGGGCTCTCACGTCCCAAGCCTGACCCATCAGCTCTTGGTAGCATCATTATTGTTGGCTCTGCTGATGCGTGAAGCATTGCAGACTCCCAGCAGCCCAGCCCAAACAGCTTTGGCTATGGGCCGGCTTCAAAACGCAGACCAGAGCCGGCTTAGCAGTGGTGTCTTAGATGGCACAGTTTGATCTACTTGATTGATCCTGCTCAGGAATGCAGAGCTGGCAAAATCTGGCTGGTTATGAAACAAGCTTTGGCTCTGTCATGTTAGCTTTAAGATATTTAGATACTCCATGAATAGGAGTCCAGAAAACAAAGTTTCACTGGGAAATAACTGCTGCAGAGAAAAACTGTTCCTTATCATAAAGCAACAAAAGGTACTATCAATGATTCAGAAGACTGGCAAACATAAAAGCATAATTCCTTTCTCATTTTTTAAAGCCGAATAAGTGACTTCTTAGATTGGCAACACTGAAGCCCAGGGCTGCCTTACAGACTCATCTGGCAACTGAATTCTGATTCAATGGCTACAACTGAAGTAGAGTGGTACATGGGTGCTTCTCGGACACATCCACTTTGTTACGTCACATTCGAGATGGCAAAGACACGTCAATCTTACGTGGCATGATGCCCTGGTCCACTAGTTGCTCCCGCGTCCTCCTTTGTTGCAGCCTCAGCTGGAGCACTGTGGGAAGGAAACAAACACCATTGGTGTTCAGAGCAACTACAGGAGCCAAGTTATGGAGTTTCAGGGGAGACACAACCGAGGCTCATGACACACCTTCTAATTCATAACTGAATAAGGGAACTACCTGGCACCCTGCCACCTGGAAAAAGAAAATCAGCTCATGATTTCTGCCTGTTTGGTGAGCGTGGAAGTTCTCTCGGAATATTTTTGTTTACTTAGTTCATAATCTTAATTTGATGACTAACGCCAGAGGGTGCCAAAAAAATGTATACACATTTCAAGAAAGGAAAAACTGTATTAAAATTGTAATACTCAATATATTCCGATAACAAAAGATGAATACAAGTCATGTTTGACTTGTGCAATGACAAGAGGTGCTCAAAGTGGTTCCCATCAGCGTAGTTTTAATACAGTTTTTTCCTTTCTTAAAATGTGCATACATTTTTTTGGGCACCCTTTGTATTTGTTGTTTAAATACAATCACATAGTAGTAGGCAAATAAACAAAAACAATTGGCTTATACCTTGTTTTATTTGTAGGAAGAGAAATGTGAAATTCCTTGCCTTTCCTTCGTTTTATTTTTTTAAACAAGTTATAGCAAAATGTATTTTAAGATTGATTTCTTTGGAGGGTCTTACTCCAACTGGAACACATTTTAAATAGCTTTAATGAAGGTCAACTGCATAATAAAAAGTGGACCTATGAGCTATTACAAATGACCCCAGGGAAAACTTCTAAATTAAGAACTTAAGTTTAATAATCTTTGCACAAACAAAACACCTATCTCATTTTACAAGTTCTAAGAAAGTCCCAAATTGATGGATACCTTATCATTTTAATTAAAAAAAGTAAATAAATCATTAGGACTCGTATAAAACAAAGCATACCTCACAAAATGTGGAAATCCAGTTTGCCAAATGTAATAAAAATAGATTTCCCCCCTAGGTATCTCAAGCAGATTTTTTTTGCAGCAGCTCTATATTTTTATCTGGAAAACGAGCCAACTTCAAAAAAGAGGAATACATGAAGTAACTTTGAAAACTATTTTCCGTGGTTTGCTTTACATTCAATTTTAAGTTCCCATTTTTATTTCTGTTTCAAACCCTGGATGAAAACCAAGGTTAGGATTATTAAGGGTCTGTTTACGGATAGTCAATAGTAAAAAAAAAAAAAATTACCTATGTGTATTTCTTAAACGGCAGGGGAGGAAGACAGGGACTTTCCTAGTAAAGGGGTGCTGGCTGGACCGGGGGCCGGCTTGGACCAGCCTCTTACCCAGGCCTGAGTCAGTGCCCGCGATGGCTCCTATCGCACTAAACCCCCAAGGCCTGAGGCCTCAGGCCCTTTGCTTTTTGCTTGCCTGAGTGCCGATTCCAGAGCAAAGCACAACCTTAGATGTGTTTCAGAAAGAGGCTAGACTGTAAAATAGCTGTTAAACATATTTTCTTATTCATAGGTAGATATGCATGTTGTCCTTTATTAAAAACTGAAAAAAAAATTTTGCTTTTGGGGGCCATTGGATCACAAAGTTTTAATGACATCCCATTTAGAAGAAATTGACATAAGATTCTATTACACAAAGCAAAAGAAAAATGTAATGAGTAAAAAAAAATATGTAAAAATGTATGTACATGTTTCTCACATTATAAACTGTTTTGTGAAACTTTGAATCAATTATGCTCTAAGAGAACGATCTTACCCTGATAATTTACAGTTTACTGAGGATAGTACGTTCCCACTGTACTTTACTAGGAACAAAAATAACCAAGGAGCTGACCTGCGGATCTGACAGTACCCAAATGCCTTCGTACTCTAACATTCTTCTGTGAACGTTAATGTTAGTCTTTGCCTGAAATTAAGATGTTCATATTCAAGAGGTAAAATCCCAAGAAAAGGACTACTGAGAGGAGAAAATGGTCAGAACCATCTCCAGTTGAAAGGCTGGCACTTCTGGAACACGGTGGTCCATCTCTATTAGAGAATCTCTAGCGGTTATCTTTCCTTTCTCCCAAGGGAGTCCTCAAAGAAAGGAGTAAAACAGAAAGGGTAATGAAAACATCAACAGCCCCCTTCTTTGGTTTAAAACAAACCAACAAACAAACAAGCAAAGCACCATACTTGTGAGACAAACGCATCAAACGCAATATACACTTTTGGGGAATGGCGTCTTGGAATGATGGGTACATCTGCAACAATTTGATCTGCAAATTAACACCGATGACAACAGCTACCCTTGGAGCATCTCTTGACTCTACACTGGTCAGCTGCCCTCACGCACCTTGAGAGCAGTCCTATTGGCTCTACCATCTTTGATGCTGATGTGCTACCATGAGGGTAATACACAATGTGAATGTGTGTCCCAGCCACCAACTGTTAAAACAAAAATCAAATGCAAACCATTTGTGTTTTCCATCCAGTTTGTTTGATGGCAAAACCAACAATGGCTCCTACTTCTGTCACTGCTGGAAGGCAGGAGAGCAGTCTCCCCAGTCAGCTCTCATCACTGCCTACCCCATCTTCCCAAGAAGCAGTATCACCCGTAAGGGTTACTCCGAGCAGCGGGGCAGGAGGTCCTCCCCAGGCGTGGTCGTTACTGAAGACATTAGGGAAAACATGTCTTATCAAGAGGAGGCATATAAGCAGCCATGCTTTTAAGGCTGATGACGCTGCTTGATTTTGTTCCATCTGCACCAAGAGGTGGGCAGTACTGACACTTTACTGAAATGAGGCGCAGTGCCCCATCAAGAGGCTCGGGTGCACTGCCACTTTGGGTTAATGTTAAAACACAATTAGAAGATTCGTGCATATGAAATATAGCCAGTCACTCACAACTTGATAGGGCTCTTCTGAGAATGAGTGATAGTTATGAAAAGAACTGGTCCTAACGCTGTAAAATATCAAACTTCCTTTTAGGTCTTCCCACTCATCAAATGCAAAAAAAGTTAATGCATAATCAATGACAACTTTGATATCTGCGTCGTACAGAAGGTCCAAGGCCAGGAAGAGCAAGGCTTGAATGATGTGGACGGCTTCACCATCCTGCAGTGCTGGAAAACTCGAGTCGGGCAGAATGTGGCCGAGCTCATCCAAGACTGTGAAGGGGGTAAGAGACCCTGAGCAGAGAGGACCCGACCCTCTCAATGACCGGTTGTGGGATCATGGTGCTTTATCAAGTTTCTGTGGGACCTTTATGAATTAAGCCTGGAGACCATCCTCCTCCCTTTGCATCCTCCACACGCACATCTGCATAGAGGGAGGGAAGGGCCTGATCACCAAATGCTACTGGACCTGTGACACAGTTGTAGCTCCTAAGACCAATGAGGAAAGCAGTACACTGGGTGATCTCTGGACAACCTGGCACAAATGCAGTGTCGACGAGACTACATTTCTGTAGCCCCACGCTGAAGACCAGGTGTTGGCCCAGCGCTGCTCTCCTGCAGGGCTATGGTGGGTGGTGGTACAGCTGCCCAGGAAGCCAGTCTCCCAGGCAATGGCCTTGCATCTGAAGACTGAACCCGAGAGCAGTCTCCCCTGGTGCCTCATTGAGCTGATGAACTGTGGTATTGGGCTGACATCATAGCTTCCGTCCTACTAGTAAACTGACTAAAATTCAGCATCCCCCATGGCCTTCTAGCCACTAACTAGCTACATACAAGAGAACAAAACACGTAAGTCTACAGAATTCTCAGGGGGAAAAATGTTCAAAACGCCCAGTGAGTGAGTGGCTACATCCTTTCATCATACGTATTTCAACAAAGAGTTGAAATAGAATTCATGTGACAATTGCTCACCTTTGCAAGTTTTCAAAGAATGTCTTTATCTTTGGAAAATGTATAAACGAAAATAGCCCAACGTATGGTCCTGAGAAGTCCTTAAGTTTACAATGGTTGGGTTTAAACCTGTTTAAACCCCCAAAGCGGGGAGGGCAAATATAAAAAAAGTGTATCTCATTATCCAGCTAACACTGTATCCTCTGTGCAGAAACAGTTAGGACAAGGTGAGGATGCTGTGACAGCTCCGTGTTTCCCGATGGCCAAGCTCACGAGAGTATACAAAGGACCTGACCCACTGGCAGGAGGCTCTTGAGCCACCTGCTTCCTGTGTGTATCACATCTTCTTCATTAGCCTGAGTCCGAGGCTTTTATTTTTTATTAAAACATCTTTTCACCTATTCTAAAAGTGATATGTTCCTCCGCTCCATGTGGTCACTATGAGGCCTGGCCATAAAGTAAAGAGGCTGATTTCTTTGTGTGCAGACCATCATCTTTGAAATTATAGTAGATATGTAAGAATATGGATATAGATTACTCTATATTCGCTGCATTTAGAGAAAAAAAATTAATTGTTGAATTTTTCCAAGGTGATGTAGCTTATTATCTCTTAGCGCTAACATTCACGGTTTCCTATTACATTTCAATAAAGAGAAAAATACATATAATTTTGAAAATTCTACTTAGTGTTATTCCTTGTTACAACAGTTAAAAACTATGTTGTGGGCCGGCCGAGTGGCGCGATGTTTAAGAACTGGCGTGGGATGCCAGAGGGCCCCAGTTCGGATCCCACATATGAGGGCCAGGGACACTGCCCTCCACAGCTAAGATGCTGAACAACAGCTCAACCTGGAGCTGGGCTGCCATGAGTCGCCAGCGATGGCATAGGCTGCAGCCCCTGTGGCAGTGAAGGTTTCCATGGGATACCGTATGTAGCCAGCAGCCAGCGTGAGCGGCCAGCAGCCGCAGTGAGCGACCGTCCAGAAGCCGGCGACTGATCTGCCTCGCCCAGGAAGAGCGCAATGATGGTGCCAACTTGGGCCAGTGAAGCAACGTCCTCCACAACTAGACTGAAGAACAAAACGACAGCAACTTGTCTGTTCCCCTTCCCCCAATTCCCCAGCACTGTTCCCATCCCCCCAATTCCCCAATAAAAAATCTTTTAAAAAAACCCCAAAACTATGTTGTGTCAACAGAAATGTTTGGAACTTGCTCTCTTTTATACAA